TACTTCTCTCTTGTGGAAAATTTATTATAACCCACTCATTTCATACATTTATAATAACTTTAATGATTATTCCACAAAAGTTTCTTGCTCAACTAATCTTAAAGATCTAATATATAACAAACTTGAATTATACTATTCAGTTCTTGCTTATATGGATGACACCCTTTGTATTACATTTTCACAGCAAGAGCTTTCATAAATTCTTAACATAGCAGAATTCTTTTACAATATGGTAAATATTCAAATTAATACTACTAAATCTATACTCACAACTAATAAACCTTTAACCAACTATAATTTTATTATATACAATAATCATTTACTTAACCTTCATCCTCCAAGTGAACTATTTAAGTTTCTAGAATGCTGATTTATACTTAAAACAAATAAAACAAAAAAAGCTCATTATAGCTAAATCTTCATATCTTATTAAAATTGTAAATACTAAACAAATTACTGATACATATGCATGATATATTATTAATACAGTTATTATTCCTATAATTGAATATCATCTTCATAATATAATTCTTAACCAAAACACTTATAACTAAATTCTTACAAATCATATTAGACTTGTTAAAAGCAAAGCCAAACTTAGTCATACAATTTCTACTAGTATTTTACTTTATTCACAATTATATAACATTCACAACATATAAGATATTCAACTACAACACTATATCATGAACTATACCAAAAGACTTAACTCTCCTAATCTTTTTGGTATTAGTACTTATATTTGACTTCAGCAATTTTAAAATAATTTTTGATCACTTACTAGTATACTAATATACAATAATCTTACTATTAATGGACCAAACAAATATTTTACTAACTTTAAAATTATTCAACTTTTTAAATATCTCAATATAATATTTATCTCTAACCCAACTTACAACATTCTACATACTATTTAAGAGGGCTCTATCTTATTAATATTCTTTCTGTACTTATATTCTAAATACTTAATCTTCAAAAAACAACTTAAATATTATGGTATTTTATATTTAGACCAACTTAGTACATTTGATAATTCATACTTACTGGACTGGAAACACATCTTTTCTCATATTCATAAAATTCCAAAAGACAAACAACCTCTCTGGTTTACCTATTTAGAAGACCAAGTTACAAGTCATTCCTATAATTATACACTATACTCACACTTACACTTACCTAATACTAACTACTATAGCTATATAACTAGACACTTCTTATTATGTAAAAACCCTGGCTTATTATAGTACTTAATAACCAAATTATTACTGATAAAGCCAGAAGACAACCTTCTCAATTTGGTACTGTGCTTATTACTTACTAGTAATATTAAATTGAATCACAATTTATCTGCTTATATTCATTTGTATTTATTTAATCAAAGGCATGTCCTGGTTGTTTCCTTAATTCATATACAATTACTATTCCTACTAATTTTTTAACTCAATTTTTTGATCAAATTAATACAAATAACAAAACTCTTAACTTTAATGTCAATTATTTGAATCTCTTATGCTCAGTTGCAATCAGACATCCTACTCAAACTTCAAGTCCATCCAATATTATTATTTTAATAAACTCAATTCCAATTATCTTTGAACTCTATACACTAATTCATAAACTTCAACAAATTGACAATTATAATACTAACCAACAAGAACTTTGTTTCTATATTAATGGCTCTGTTATTAATTTGAGTACTTCTCAATGCTCTATGGTCATTGAATAGGTCCAAGTCAATAATAATTCTATACTGCATACATTTTAGGTACAAGTCAAACTTTGGTCATACTTATTCAAATTAGAACTTATTGCTATCTTATCAGTTCTTATTACTATTCCTAGAAAACTGTATTGTAAATATATATACAGACTCTCAATCTGTAATTTTAAAATACTAAAACTTTTTAAATTTCTTTACTACTCTATCATGTACATATACATCATACTTTTTATTTTAGAATATACTTGTCAACTTTATTAACTCATACAAAATTTAATCATTTTTTACAAAGTTACTATTCATCAAGATAATACATATAGTAATTTAGCTAATCAACTTGTATATAACTATTATAACTTGTCATATCTTATTTTCATATTATATAATATTTATAACCTAGCTTATATTCTTATTCTTGAGAATTTTTCTCTTGAACTATTACCTTATCACAGTATTTATACAATTTGTCATATATATATTTATGCACTATGGATTATTTAAAACTGTTTTCTTAAATGGAAAAAAATTCTTAATCAAATCAATTGACAAGTCAATTGGCTATATATCAACAACAATCAAAAAATTTCAAACTTCTTATATAGCTTTCAATCATCTACTCTTAAGTCTTTTAGAATTAAAATTTTATTGAATAAACTTCCTGCTCACATATTTTACACAAATGTTATCACTCATATCTATCTACCTGTCACCAATGTCAACACACTAGCTCTCATCTTCATTAGACAACTTGTCCTTTGATCAACTATTAAATAATCTTATAAACAAATCATTACAACATATTCTTAATATTACTACTCTTAATACTACTTCAGAAATTATAACTAATCTACATTATTAAATCAAACAACTAAATTGCATGTCCAGTTACAATATACTGACCTACCTTTAGTTTCCTCAACTCTATCAGACTTAGTACCAAATAAAATTATTATTATAGTTGCAGACTTATCATTTACATAACACTTATTACTAAATTCTTACTTCATCTTAATCAACAAATTTATTACAAAATTTGGATTCCTTACTGTATTTCAAGATCTACAATTCATATTTCTATTTCTAATTTATCTTTTAATTCTATTTTGCAATTAATGCAAACTCCTTCTCTTAATACTATTAACTCTAAGATTAATTCTTGATATATACAATGAATTAAATATCAAACTAATCTCTTATATATTATTATTAACACCCAAATCTAGGTGAAGCTTGACCATTCTAGTTAGTTTAGGTCACAGATAAATTAGTCTGAACTTCTATTCTTGCTATAATATTTTAAAAGTAGATTTAAATTTTATGTAAAAATCTCAGTTAAATATTTAATAAAGATAAAAGCATGATCTTACCATTAACATTAAAAAAAAAAAAAATCCAACACATTTTTTTGTAAAAGTTATCTATCATATGTTACATGAGAGTTTGGATTGTGAAGTGACTGAGTTACAATAGACACATACAATATTTCATTCTTCAACATGGCTAGCATTTTTCAAAGTCTTAGAGAATTTAAACTTGCTAAGAGTTTAGACTTCTTTTTTCTCTGAGGGTTTCACCATTTGCTAAGGGTTTCGCCATTTTCGTCATTTGTCAAGGGCTTCGCCATTAATTGAAGTTTCACCAGTTTTAGGTTTCATGTTTCGCCATTTGCGAAAACAGTTTCGCCTAACAACTATAGTCAGGTCGATGGTAGTTGATCGAAAGGGGTGGTAGTTTAAGAGTGATCGGGATTGACTTAATTAAGAGTGGCTTTAATCTTAATTATATTTTAAGAGTAATAAGTAATTTAATTGCCAAGTAATTGCTTGATCTAGTGAATATTCTATATGTGGTCCTTTGTAAGCGTATTACACTATATAACAATATAATATACGACTTCTATTTATTTAAGGAAAGGTCTATTCAGCCTCAGAGCTTACTTCCTTTATGTTAAATAATAGACCCAGCGTATATTTTTATACAAAGACATTTTAACGTGATATGGAAACGATTACTTATTAAGCGAAATTAAGGTAATATAAGGTTTGGGATGTTTTAGAGTTAATTATAGTGATTTATTTATTTTGAACTTTATTAGTAACTTCATTCGTAACTGGTCTTTTTGGAAAGGCGAAAAATTTTGTTTGTGACGGCTATATTAAGTAATTTTATATATGATTATGTCGCTCATATCTTTATTTGCAGTTGCTTCGCCTGTGCTTGAACCATCCTAAGGTAGCACAAGCCACTCTGCTCACATCACTAATCTGTGGCTTATTCGAATATACACCTTATCCTAACTGCTCATCTTGATGTTTATATGAGCAGCTACCATGGTTCTTAAACGTTGTGGGACCCGAATGGACACTTGTCGTTTGGGGTGGGTCAATTGCTTAATTAGGAAAAGAGGTAGATCGCATCTGTCGCATGCGACGCATGTGTTGAATGTGACGGATAGCAGCGATCATTCAGAAGGGAAATATTAGTGGGATACGACTGATCAGTAGCATCAGAGATATCAGTCGTATCCATCGCATAATATAAATAGAGATTTTTAATTATAAATAAAGGCCGAAAGGCCTTTGGGAAGAACAACTCCCCCTTTGTAACAACTACATAACACATATAATACATAATCATTTCATATAATAAAACTACTTGTCAAATAATAATACACGAATAACTTTATTAAATATAATCGTTGCTACGTAACCTGTCCCTAACTTGTGACTCTGTAAAAGTGCGCTAGTACATTTAACCCATACCAACCCGAAACATCTTGTATCAGTAGACCCAACCATTACCAAGCGAACCACTCGACAAATCTAACACACCTCTTTCGACCCGAATTACCCTCCCAAGAGGTTACACGAGAAATCCGACCGACTCGCCGTTTAACGATTACAACATAAACAAGGGCATGAGCAGGACGAATTACAAATAAATAACTATATACAGGTATAGCTGAAATAATAAAAAGACTATAATAATAAATAAATAAAAAGAATTAAGAAAAACCCGTGACTTGGAACGGGACGTCAATTTACATTCCAACAGTATCATCTAAGAAAGTTTTCTTAGGCAAATTTGATATGTAACAATGCGAAATATACTACGTAGATGATTTAGATACACTAATTAAATAATAAATAAGAATATTTAACATTTAAAAGTAATGAACATGAAACTTTTCAACTAAATATTAAATCCATTATTTTTCCAAATTTTTAATTTATGTTAAACTGATGCTACTTGTGAACGTTGTTGAGAAATCTTAACATCAATTTGAAATTGGTGATTTAGCTAACTCTGCATTACCATTAACATCATTTATGTTTGCTGCATGCAGTACAGGTATCTTATCTATAAATTTTGTCATGACAAAAACTGTGAACGCGGTGCTAAACAGCTCGGCGTAAATGTAAGTTGGCAATTGATGATCAAAACGTCCTATTTCTCGATAAGTCATTATTGCTAAGAGTTGTGCAATGTCAATAGTAAATAAAAAAGTTTGATGAAAAATGACTCGACGAATGTTTTTATCTTTTCTTAACTCTAGAGTCCTTTTAAATAAACACCAATAAAAGAATGTTTCGGCAATGATATAATAAATACGAAAGAAAGGAGCAACTATATCTCGTACATAATAAATTTTATTATAAATGAGCCAACATAGAGGGCCACAATACGAGCCTTGACATTTAAATCCATCAATGAAGAAAAACGTTGTCGTCAAAGATACTTCTACGATACGTGCAACAATAAAGAACCATGCGATCAATCTAGAAATAAAGCAACCAAAAGTTTCCGAAACGCTTGCAGCACGCTTATATGCAAGATACAGCATGGACGGTTTGATGACGAAATAAAATATTCTAGTAAATGCGAGTATAGAATAATATAAATATACCGATGAATCATCAGAACATTTTGAAAAGCTCACATTTGCAGTGTATGTACAATTATTATTTAAATTGATCGTATCACTAGAGCAAATTTGACTTGCTCTAACCAAAAAAAGCATGAGTATTTCATTGGCAAGCAATGAAATATTTACAGGAATAAGATACCAATAATTTGCATCGATTGTCTTGTCAACTATCGCTCGCAAAAATGAATCCGCAGTTAATGCAAGACTCACTGCAAGAAACCAAGTCGAAGTAATTGTTTCAAAACTAGAAATGTACGTGGTGTCATCCACTAAATCTGTCATATTGATAAATAATTTAGAATCCTCTAAATAAGCAGTTTTTGTTTGCGCTAACTATTGTTATAAAAACTTTTGACTAAATTATAAGCAGAACGAAAATAAGATCAGTTTATATCCATAATATAATAGATAGCGTTTAATTTTTCGCTAAAAAGCATGGTTAATTTGTTTTTTGTGATTGGTTAATAATATAAAGTTGCGTACATTATCATGCGGCTTTTTTTCTTTCAACATGACTATATAAGTGAAAATTTTTCTACACAATCCATAAATTTGGATTTTATTGCTACAACTACTTAACAGTATAATAATTTATCGTTAAAAAACATGGTCAATTTGTTTTTTGTGATTGGCTAGTAATATAAAGTTGCGTACATTATCATGCGTTTTTTTTCTTTTCAACATGCCTATATAAGTAATAATTATTCTGCACAATCAATAAATTTGGATTTGATTGTTGCAACTTAACAATCAAAGGCATATATCTATTTAGATTATAGTTTCATGCTTTTTCTGGTATTTTGAGATCCTACGAAATACGTGTTTCGGAAAATTCGGACTAGCTATTATAATCTGCATGCAAGTAGTATATATATATATTAAATTGTCTGTTAGATTCCTTATCATAGATACGAAATTCGATGAGTCCAATTATAGAACATGCAATGGTCATATAATAGAATATACACTAAATCATCAAAATGTATTAGCAATATCGATATACGACAGTTAATAGAAAGCTAAACTGGGGTCCTCAATTTCTGGACTTACCATGGAGGGTAAGCGTAAGCTCATATACCATGCTTACTAAGAAAAGATTAAAAAGTCAAATCGGGGAACTGATTCGGAGAGAGACTTTTTAAGAATTAGCTCAGAACTAGTCTAGACCATTTTTTACAGGGGATAACCAAATTTCCAGGCCGGTATTTAGCAACCATTTCTGGGCAAAATTTTCAGCTGGGCAGATGAGTAGCCATGACTTCATTGTTAGTGATCGTGGGCAAAATTAGTTAATTCCGGCCACGCCGATCATTATTCCGAGGTATTCCGGCCTGGTATGAGTTGTCAAAACCAGTCCAGGTCTCACATGATATGAATAGAGTATTATTTTTGACATATCGAATAGGTTATATGTGTGAATCATAAACAAACCCTTTTAAATAACCATAATTAAATTCGGCACTTTCGCTTTAAAACATCTCTAATTGTCATTAAGCTTATTAAGTACATCAATTGGTAGATTAAATCAAATTAATAAATGTTTTATTGATTTTCATTTTTTTTATGTCTTATAAAGATTCAAAATTATATTAAACTGACTACTGTAGGACTTGTTTTTGACAGGGGGTGAATTCGTTTTTAACTAGTGTGACGACGGAAAATGTGATACCGAATATCGTGATCGATCACGTGAAAAATACACGAAATGCGATAAGTTACATTTGTGATCGAGAACGGTATTTCGGATCCAGAGGGGTAGTATGGGAGGATGTAAGGAGAAATTACACATCCTTAAAGAAATAAAACATGGTTGGAGAAATTAAATATATCATTGTAAATAACATTTAGTAGCCTTAAAGTAATAATAAGTGCAACGTCGCATTTGTAAGCGACGAATTTTATATTATAAATAAAGGCCGAAATGGCCCTAGGAGCAGTACGCTTCGTTTGCTTTATTAAACAATAAATCCTAATACCCTACATTGTACTTAATAAACACTAACACTATTACCGTTACAAACCCTGTGAACCCCTAATAACGTCACTGTTCAACCCTTGATCACATGACTTACCCTATTTGCATTCGTTGACCCAAAGTGACCGAAAGCCTTAATCGCCCACAAGTCAAATCTAACACCCTCTTTCGAAAAGGTTACTTGTCATATGTTACACAAGGTTTTGAATTTTGGAGCGACTGAGTCGCAATCTTCTGAACCCAACAATATACATATATCTTTATAGTAAAGCAGACTTGGTGATTAAAAATTTGTCAATAGCGAATAAACATACAACATACATATCTCACAAGTAGCGAAACCAGCCCTCTACATTTTTTATGATATTCATTGTACTGACTTATATAGCAATTGGCTTCATCTAATCTATCGTATTCCTTCAACATGTATTAACATGTATTAACGATATATCGTTGTTTTGTATTACTTACAGAAATAAATATGTTTTTGTGCAACAAGATGATCATCATATGATATAATGCATTGTTATTAAACTCTTTTTTGTAGATCACTTTACCAAAATTGGACAAAAGAAGAAAAATTTTATATCGAACATAGAGCAATAACTACTAAGTAAATCAACCTTGGACCATTAAGTAAACTTGTTCTAAACAGTAAACTTGACCTAAAAGAGGTGCAAACCTCAGGAAAAAATATT